CCTGAAGTCTGCTGTCAGCTCCAGGGGTGTAGGGGAGCCATGTTTTCCTCTGATTTTGTCCCACTCTCTGGGGTCTCCCAAAGTTGGGCTTGATAGCATACTTCTTGCGGCCAGAACCAGTTGCAAATTGCATCTCCACCTTTAAGGGATGGGGCAGGCATCCCTTCCTACCGTATGGCAGGCAGGCAGGAAGCCCCCTTGTCCCAGGATGGCGGCTCAGTTAAAACCTCACTGAGAAACCTCAGACCCATGAGAGGCAGTGCTTCTGTGCCTTGGGGGCTGGCCGGGTGCCTGCCCTCTCCCACTCTCTCTGCCCTTTCAACCTCAGCCATCCAAAATGTCTGCGGTTCCCAGGGCCCGATCCTGCTCTCAGTCAAAGCCCTGGGGGCAGCAGCATCGTATGCATGGTCCGTACACAGCCAGTCTGTAGCAGGTCAGTACGGCAACCTTGGGTTCATCTGTCTTAGATCCCAGGTGGAGCATAAGGAGACCTGAGCTGTGCACAAAACAGGGCTGACCCAGAGGTTTGGGGCTCGATGGGTGTCTGGTTAAGGGTGAAATCCAGCTGCATGTTCCTTCCCCCAGCCCAAGGGAGAACTCCAGCCTTTCTGTCCATCCCCCCTTATCTCCAGCCCAGATGCGGAGCCGAAAGGAAATGCCTTTGCTGGTGGGGGTTTGCCAGAGTCAACAGCTGACTTGAAAACACTTCGCTTTGTGACCTGCTGGGTCTGTGCGCCGCCAAGTCCATGCAGGGCCCCAAGCAGCTGTCTGCACTGCTTGTGTCTGAGAGCAGCATTGGCAGGACAAGGAGTTGTGTCTAGGGCAGGATGAAGGGTCTGGATAGCCCGGCTGCTCCCTGTCCATCTCTGCCCCAGCACTGGGGAGGTGCCTGGGAGGCAAGCAACCCGCACAGCAGGGAGGGAAGGGGACCCCAGGGTTGCCTGTGCAGAAGGGGGAGCACAGGGTCTGCGGGGGGGGTGTCTGCTGGCGTTGTTCTGCCACAGAGTCCCAAGCCTGCTGTTTAGCCCAGCGCTGGTCCCGAGCTCTCCACATCCTTACTCTCGTGGCCCTTCGCTGGGCTGGACCAGACCCTGCTCCCTCAAAGGACAGAGGCGTCCCAGGCACTAACACTCTTGAGAGGTAGCAGGTGGGGACCTGCATGATGCTGGGCACTACATCTGGGGTGGTGCCTTGCTGCACAGTTTCAGGCTCAGTAACTGTGCCGGTCCTCGTCCGCACGCTGACACCTGCCGGGAGAGAGGAGCATTGCAGGGGCTTTGGCCGTTCTCGCCTCCGATTTGTAGGGTTTGACGTGGAAAGGCTTGTTGGACTGTGGGATCCTTCCCTTGCCACCAGGCAGGGCTGGAGACTGAAGGATGCTGTCTGCTGTCTGGCCGGTGCAGTTAGCCAGGGGCTCGTTCACATCCCACCAGCACCACCACTGCAGTTGGAACGGGTCACCCCCGTAGCGGAAGGCCAGTGATTGCCTGAGTCCGGAGACTGAGCTTCTTGCATGCTGGAGGAGGTCAGGCACGTTGCTGGTCCTGCAGTGAGATCATGTGCCCAGGAAGCTGCAAGTGCTGGCTCTGAGCCTGCCACTGCACCATGGACTGAGTTCATGTCTCCTGCCTCACTTTCCCCAAAGCATGCTGAGATGTTTGGATGAGAAGCACAAAAAATGTTAGTCCTGTTCTGCACATAAGTGGGCTCCAGAGCTCTCCAGTGGGCCCCTGTCAACCGAACAAAGTTCACCCGCACAAATTAAACCGTTCGTAATCAGTGTTGCCAGCCAGGCATAAATTTATAGATTGTAAGGGGCTGGAAGGGACCTTGCAAGATCATCGGGTCCAGCCCCCCCTGCACTAAGCAAGAAAGACAACTGAGGTCAGGTGTCCCCAGCAAGATGACCGTCCACTCTCTTGAAGATTTCCAGGGTAGGCGATTGCACCACCTCTGCAGGGAGCGTACTCAGGGCTGGGCGGTGGGCTTGCCTTTGAATACTTGCCGGGAGCCCAGAAGGCTTCTGTGCTGATGTGGGGCGTATTGTGTCTTGCAGGAATTTTGCCTCTTCGCTGTGGTCGGGCTGGTGTCTGACTTCTTCCTGCAGATGTTTTTCTTCAGCACCGTGTTGTCCATCGACATTCGCCGTATGGAGGTTGGTGCGGCGGGGGGGTTCCACGCCTGATGTTGCCGCTGCTTCTCCCTGCGACCTTGCTTCTCGTGCAGAGAGAAGAGCCAACGTGGGAGGTTGGGGAGGTGCTTGCTAGAGGTGGCAGGTAGAGGGAGGGACAGCAGCGGGCATACACAGAGAACTGACATCCAGCAGGTGTGGTTGGGTGTGTGAGCAATGCCAGCCACACCCGATTGCTGGGCCGTGGACATGTGTAGCTGGGAGATCCTGGGAATGGATGGCCACATGCGAGGCTGGGTGCCCAGGTGCACATGTGTATCTGCGGACTGTGGGATTGAGCCTGGCCTCACCTGCTTGCTCAGGCCCGGACCCACGTACAGCCAGGTGATTTAGGGATCATGTCTCTCTGGAAGTCTGTCACCTCCCTGACCCCTCTTCTGTCCTTTCGCAGCTTGCGGACCTGAACAAACGGCTGCCTTCAGAAGCCTGCCTGCCCCCAGCAAAGTCCATGAGCCGCTCCCAGCGGTACGAGCGCCAGCTGGCCATGCGCCCCGCCACCCCACACACCATCACCCTGCAGCCCTCCTCCTTCAGGAACTTGCGCCTGCCCAAGAGGCTGCGGGTCATCTACTTTTTCGCCAGGACCCGGCTGGCCCAGAGACTCATCATGGTACATGCAAGCTCTCAGCTGTCTGGTGCACCTTGCCGACCCATCTCTGGGGGCTGCATTTCCAGAGAAAGAAATGTGGCTTCTCGAGCGGCTTTGTTCCCCTCAAGCTTTGTGTTCTCCTCACAGTGGTGGTGTCATCAGGGACGCAGCTCCCTGTGAAGCCTGTCTGCCTGTTTCTGTTTGCTCCAGGGCTCTGTTCAGTAATTAGAGCACAAAATCTAACTGACACTGAGCAGCGATTAGTGGGCTATTCCCAGTTCCCCTCTAGCCAGGCTCCTTTTAGTTACTTGAAGGCATCTCTGCAGAGGCATCCTTTCAGGAGTGGTTGAATGAGGAGAGAAGAGAGATCCTGAGAAGGACAAGTGCTTAGCTCCTGGGGCAGTGTGGAGGGAAGGGCTAGGGCTTTTCATCACACAGAGATGAAACTATTTTCCACACTGATTCAGGCAGGTCACTCACCCTGCTGGAAACTTGGCAGCAATGAGCCATTTTCCCAGTACACGGGAGTGTGGATGTGCATGTGTGCGTGGCACAAATATCACAGAACCACAGCTAGTCAGACCAGCAGGGCCTTTTGGAGGTCACATCCAGTCCAGCCCCTTGCTCTAGGCAAGACCATCCCTGTCTAAACCATCCCAGACAAGTCCTAAAACTTTACAATCAACCCTGTTGCACAAGGCACAATGCCCCAAAAGACCAGGAACGCCCAAGCCTGGCACAGGTAGCACGGGAACAAGGGCTGGCAGGATCCCATTGATCCAAGGGTTGTTACAATTCACTCGAGAGATCCAGGGCAGATGTCCATATGTGATGGAGACCAGGAGTTCCTAGACATTCATAATGTCAGGCTTTTGTGGCTGCTTTGCAAATCCTTACAGCTCCAGCCAAGGTCGGGGGGTTCGATCCTGCTGCAGCAGGACTGTCTTTGTGGGAGGCTGTTGACAGCAGGGCAGAGCAGCACGTGATGTCTGGGAGGGCCCTGTGCGGTGGGGATGTTGGCCACAGTGGGCAGGGCACCGGGTTTTAAACACTCTTGTCTCCCCGCTTGTGCCGTGCAGGCCGGGACAGTGATTTGGATTGGAATCCTGGTCTACACCGACCCCGCCGGCCTCCGTACCTACCTCACGTCGCAGGTCACCGAGCAGAGCCCTCTGGGAGAGGCAGGGTTGCCCCCCATGCCCGTGCCGGGTGGGGTCTTTCCCGCCGGGGATGCCAAGATCGACCTCTCTGTCTTCCCGGCGGACCCCGTGCCTCTGTCTGAGAACCAGACGCAGCAGCGGGAGCAGAAGGCAGGGCTGGAGTCCCTGGACCGGCTGGAGGCGGACACGTGGGCCCAGGGAGCAGAGAGCAGGGGGAATGGGCAGCCGGAGCTGGGCACTGCTGCAGAGGTGACATGGGGGCCAGGGGACGAGGAGATCTGGAGGAAGCTGTCCTTCCGGCACTGGCCAGCCCTCTTCAGCTACTACAACATCACGCTGGCCAAGAGGCAAGTGGCTGGGAGCCTGGGGGCTGCGGCCCTGTGAGTGCCCCACAGAACCCAGCAGGCTGGGCTCAGCTCTCCCTCAGGGCAGACAAACCAAGGGCCTGGACAAATGGACCAAAGACAGTGAATTGCCTGGGCATGGGGACTTGCCCAGCACAATGGCTATGGGGTGGCTGCCTGCTCTTACACTGCAGTAACTGGAAGCTGACCTGGGGCAGCTTAGCCCTGAATGAAACTTAAGCTGCCCTGGTTTAACTCATGTACTGTGGGGTAACTGCTCCTTGGTAAGTCCCTGCCCCATTTTGACTTGCTGTCCTTTGTCCGTGGCTGGAGTCCCGGCTGCTGGCTGGGACTGGCTCTCCAGTTGTCTCTGCTCTGCCTGGCGCCTCTTCGTCCCAGCGCCTTTTGCCTTAAGAAGCGGGGTTTCTGGTTGATCCAGTCATCCCCGACCTCTCCCACCTTGCTGCGGTGAGCGATGTGTTTGGTTGTTTCCCTTCACCCCAGAGGCAGCAGCATGTCAGTGCTGCCACACGGGTATGTTTGGAGGCAGTTTGTGGCCTGCTGCAATCAAAGGCCCAGCCTGTGTCAGAGGGATGCGTTCTGGTTTAACCACACACTCTGGCTAGATGTTGGGGTTGCCAGATTGGGTTCCCCAGTCTGGGTTATGCAGGAGGTGAGGTAGTGGTGCCTGCTGTCTGTGAATCCCAGGTGGCCACACGGGTGACCTGCTCCTACGCTGGCTCTTTGCCCCCCTTGCATAGAGCTGGGGAGATGGAGCAGAGTCTCACTGGGTTTTTGTGTGAAGCCCAGTGGCTTCCTGAGAGACTGGACAGAGCAGCAGAGGGTACGCTGGGGAGCCCTGCCTTGGTCCCCAGGGGATGGGGAGAGTCTGGGTGCTCCAGCGGGGTTCTTCCCTGTCAGTCTAAGTTGGTCTGTGGTCTTCCCTTCCCCTCGCAGGTATATCAGCATCCTCCCAGCGATCCCCGTCACCCTGTACCTGAATCCACAAGAGGCCTTAGAAGTGCGCCATCCCCAGGAGGCCAATCGCTACCATTCCTTCTTCCCTGTGGGCCACGGGAGATCGGAGGTGGAAGGGCGAGTTGCCGAGGGCTCACCCAGGCTACAGGGGCACCGCGACGTCACCCTCTACCAGTAAAGAGCTTGCACAGCCCCAGCACTCCCCTCATGCGCTTCCCTGACTGTGCCCATTGCCCAGCCAGGGCAGCTTCTTTCCCTGCAGCAGCAGGTCACCCTCTAGCTCTTTGGGGTGCATGGGGTGGACACACACATAGACTTACTTAGCCCAGGCTGCTCATTTTCAGCCGCTGAACGTTAATCAGAGCATTGGAGTTGGAAAGGACCCCCAGGGTCTTCTACTCCAAACCCCTGCAGGAGGTGTGTCCCTGACCCATCCCAGACAGACACCCACCCGCCCAGCCCCTCCATTCACAACTTAGTTGGGCTCAGAGGCTGCGAGCTTCCTGGCAGGGGCTACCATGTGCACCAGCACATGTCAATGAGGCCAGTGCGTGGGGTGAGGGTACAACTAACACGCCGGTGTGTCTTGCCCACCAGGGTTGCAGCGCTGGGCCTGGCCTCCGGCATCCTCCTGGTCCTTCTGCTCTTCTGCCTGTACAAAGTCTTCTGCCCCAAGAACTATGGGCAGAACGGACTTTCACACACGCGAAGGAAGAGAGGGGACCTGCCCTGTGACGATTACGGTTACTCGCCGCCCGAGACTGAGATCGTTCCTTTGGTTCTCAGAGGTCACCTCATGGTAGGTTGGCTTGGGCTGGATTACGCATATATGCTCCAACAGGCTTCGTTAGGAGAGACCTGTATTTGTATTCGGTGCCCTCCTGCTTCGTGCTTCTGTCAGTCGCAAGTGAGAGCCAGTACTCAGGCAAGTACACTGAGCCCTGGGGGCTAACAAAGGTCGTGCACGTGCAGCTTGTCTGCTCCTGCGGCTCAAGCCCATGACCACGGGTTCTGGGGGGCTCCACGTGGAGGCGTCTGGTTCTTCATGCCAGCAAGGAGCGTGCATAGGGCCTCTGACTCTACAGTCACAGACTAGTCACGCCGTTGTCTACATACGCAGGGCTGTGCGCCCAGCAGTGGAAAACCCAGTGTCCTGGAGAGGTCCAAAACCACGTAGACAACCATGAAAGACCAGGACACCAGTGGTGCTGTGTGGTAGCCAAATGTAGGCAGCATTGAATCTGCCCCTTCCAGTGTTGTGCACGTGCAGTCTATGGCTGCTCTCCCTTTGTGTGTGGAGCTGGGGGTCCCAGCAGCAGTCCAGCATGAGTGGGCACACACTCACAGGGGCCTGGGGCCCACAGCCTCTTCAGGCTAGACTCATTGGGAAGTGGAAGACAGTTGAAGCCTGCTTTGCTTTTGCTGTGTGGATACGGCACTGGGCTCCTGGGGCAACCCCTGCCCTGGAAGGGCCCAAGCCGGCAGGTGGTTTGGAGCTGGGCATCACTGTGCAGGGGGTGCTTGGTGTACGGGCAGCCCTGAGGAAGGCAATGGCTGGAATCCAGAGGTGTTGCTAGCTCCTTGCTCACCTAGGCCTGTGTTCCCTTCTCAGGACATCGAGTGCCTGGCCAGTGACGGGATGCTGCTCGTCAGCTGCTGCCTGGTGGGGCAGATCCGTGTGTGGGACGCACAGACTGGAGACTGCCTCACTGTCATCCCCAAGCTGGGGTACGTGGCCACTGCTGCCTTGCCCTTTTCCTTCCACGGTCCTGAGGCTGCTGTAGCAGTCCAGTCCCACCTGTCTCTCCTGGGCCCAATCCCAGCCCATAGGGAAGGGCACGCTAACCTGCAGCTGCTGCATTTCAGGTTGCGGAGGGACAGCAGCGGCATCTTCGATTACCAGGAGGGCTGGGACCAGAGCCCCGACGCCAAGTGTGGGCCGGAGGAGTCCTACGACAACGGCCACCAGCTCAAGAGGATGCTCAGCCCTCCCCAACCCCCACTCTTCTGCGACCAGCCGGACCTCACATCTCTCATCGACACCAACTTCTGCGAGCAGGCGAGAGCGGCGTCGGAGGCACGGCACCGCACTGTCTGTGCCCACCAGAAGGAGGCGGGTTATGACTTCGGCAGCCTGGTGGGGAAGGCCTATGAGGAACATGCCACTTCGAACTGCATGAACTTCACAGGCTTCTCCACCCCACACGGACAGGTTGCGCTGTGCACGGGAGCCAGTGGCTCTCGGTCCCCCAGCTGCGGGAGCGGGGAGAGCGGGTGCAGTGCCCGTAGGAGGAGCCTGGGGGACGAGGCATTTCCTGGATTTGACAAGTCCTCGCCTGTTCCCACCTGGAGCAGTGATTTTGAAAGCTCTGTCTGGAGCTTGGATCTACAGGGGAACCTCATTGTGGCTGGCCGCAGCAACGGGAAGCTGGAGGTAAGGGAAGGGGCCGGGGTGCTTTCCCTGGAGGGAGGGACCAGACACTGTGAGCAACATGCCAGCAGCTAGGCCCCCAGCTGGATTAGGGCCCAGGCTGCCAGTCCTCATCCCCATGGGGCAGCTTCAGGTTCTTTTAGGGGCTTTGGACAGTGGGCCTCATAGTCGTGCAACAGGGTTGAGTATGTGCTCAGTGGGGGCAGATGACAGGACAAAGAGCAATGGGCTCAAGTTGCAGCAAGGGAAGTGGAGGTTGGATATTAGGAAAAACTCTCACGAGGAGGGTGGTGAAGCACTGGGACAGGCTCCCCAGAGGGGTGGTGCAGTCTTCATCCTTGGAGGTGTTTAAGGCCCAGCTAGACAAAGTCTTGGCTGGGATGATGTAGTTGGGGCTGGTCCTGCTTGGAGCAGGGGTTGGACTAGATGTGACCTGAGCTCCGCTTCCCCCCCTCATTGTCTGTGCGTCTATGTAGCTTTAGGTCTAGGTAAGACAAGGGCTTGTCTGGGTTGGTTCAGACAGAGATGTTCCTGCCTCAGGCAAGGAGTGGATGTGACCTGGGGTCCCTTCCAGCCCCACTTCTCTCTGGTTCCATTTGAAGCTTTCAAGATTTCCTATGGGGAAAAAACTCGAATCCCAAGGAGCGTCTGATGGATGCAGAGATCGTGCGTCAGGATGACATCTTCATTTAGCAATGTCTGTCATCTGCTCCATCATCATCAGCACATTAAGTGCTTATCTTTCTGTTCTGTTAAGAGGATTAAGCTTTTTCATTACCACACAAACAGGAGCCCCTTTGAACCAGGCGAGACGATGATATGATTCAGATTGCACCAAGTGGCAGCTGCCCTCAAAGGGTTTAGAAAGCAGCTAAGATGCTTTAAGTTAGTGAACTATTTTGGTTGTTGCTATAACTCAGTGTGCCATCAAACTGAACACTGTTTTTACCAACATGTCATGAAATGACCTAAAGAAATAAGAGCAATAGAAACAGCAACTTAAAATAAGTTTAGGAAATGAAACTCCAATATTTTTCCAAAGCTGAATTAAAAGCAAACTGTTTCAAACCTTGCTGTTGCCTGCTCATGGAAAGGGATCTCAGTGCATGAAATCTGCTGTCATCTGGACAGTGTTTCCCATCAAAAAATTTACAATAAAACTCTCCCACTCAGCTTTTGATGCAGGCCGTGATCCTTCCTGGAGAGGGCAGGAGCAAACAGACATGCTATGCAGTGCAGTGCATGTCTTTCACCTTTTAAATGCGCTCCTGAGGACTGGGCTCTTGTTCTGAACAGCACTGTGGAGCATCTGGCATTGACCTTTGTGTCCAGTCCGGGTTCAAACAGAACTGAGCCGGCAGCTGGCAGGAGGACGGGCGCCGGCGGTGCTGGGGCAGCAAGATGCCAGCCCTGGGGCCTGCAGGCTGCCTTTCACACGGCCTCTCTTACAGGTGTGGGATGCCATCGAGGGGACCCTGCGCTGCAGCAATGACGAGGGCCAGTCGGGCATCACAGCACTCGTGTTCCTGAACAACAGGTGGCCGACCATCTTTGAGGTTTCCCTTGTCTGTCCTCACCCCCCACATCATTTGAAGCCAGCTGTGAGCCCAGCTGCCAGGATTCACGCTGATGTGGGTCAGACAGCTGCAGGCTGTGATGACGGGCCCCCCTTTTCTGGCCAGCACATCAGTGTCTCCTGAGTACACGAGTTCTCGCACCCCATCTGGGCCTGTTCCCAGCAGCCCTGTCCCCTCATCAGCATGTGCATCAAAGCTATGGCAAGGGGCATTCGAATGCAGCCAGGGCAGTATAGCCCTCACTCTGCCTCTGGAGGTGTCTCCAGGCCTGCCCCCACCGTGTGCTCACACGCGTGTGCTTCTGTCCACCAGGATCGTGGCTGCCAGGCTGAACGGCTCCTTGGACTTCTTCTCCCTGGAGACGCGCGCGTCCTTCAACCACCTGCAGTTCCGAGGTGAGCGAGTGCCGGGCACGCTGCGCAGCCAAGGATGACATGGGGAGACCTCGGCCTCTCTTCCCCTGCCCCCTCCCCATGCTCTCAGCTCACGTGTCCTCGCGCTCAGCATTGCCACTCAGAAAACACAGGGAAGCCCCAGGGCCCAGCGCTGAAGATCCCAGTGGTTCCTCTGCACATAGCTAGGGAGGGAGGTGTCCAAAGTTGGTTGGGGGCAGCGTGGTCCCAGCATTGGCTCTGGAGACTCTGGGGCAGGGTAAGGTACGGGTTGGGGCCTTGCTGCTCGCACAGTTGTGTCCTGCTGATCGTCACTGGCAGCTGCTGCTGCAGGAGGGGGCTGGGGTTGGGATCCCCTGTGGCAGATGGTCCCAGGGGTGTTGAGCAGCTGCTGTCTCTGCTTGGCTCGCCGGGTGCTCAGCCCTTGGGAAAAACCTGGCCCAGGGCACAGCCAGTCTAGCCCCAGAAAGGAGGTGCAGTCAACGCTCACTTGCAGCAACACCTGGTAAGAGCAACTACCGCTTACCAGCAGCACTTCTCCTGGGCATAGCCCATCCTGAGATGACACATCCTCTAGCAGCAACAACTACATAAGAGCAACATGGCACCCATGCATTGCTGCTAAGAGACCGGGGCTCTTCTCCGTGTCCCCGGCCAGGCGTGGGGAGGGGGAGCGGGAGGCCGGCCCTGGCATGCGAGGTTGCCGTGACCCATGTGATTTGCATGTGCATGCATGTGCCCCCAAGGAACGCCCAGCAGGGGCAGCATGCCCTCCTCCCCCGTGTTCAGCAGCAGCGACGTCATCCTGTGTCAGCTCACCCACACCGTGTCCTGCGCACACCAGAAGCCCATCACAGCCCTGAAGGCAGCAGCGGGGCGGCTGGTGACAGGCAGCCAGGACCACACGCTGCGAGTGAGTGCCCTCCACCTGGACCACAGCCAGTGGGGGTTGGGACTGACTCTGGGTGGGTAGTTCCCTCCCCACCTCCAGCTAACTCGGGTGTGAAGCCATGTGACTCTGGCCTCACGTGCCCTCCTGCCACGAACTTACACCCCACTTAGCTGAGGGATAGGCTGAGGGATAGGCCTTGCCCCCTCAAAGTCATGGGGGCACTGGGATGCAGGAGATGGGGCGGGTGGATGGGGAAAGGAGCAGCAAGACCTCGGCATGGGCTCTGGCAGGGCAGCTCATGCAGCACGGAGGCTGATGCCGGCTCTGCTCTGACCTGCAGGTGTATCGCCTGGAGGACTCGTGCTGCTTGTTCACACTGCAGGGGCACTCGGGAGGCATCACTGCCGTGTACATAGACCAGGTGAGGGGGTGCAGAGTGGGTTGGGGGGCAGCGTCCTGGCTGGAGTGTCGGGGCAGGTGGAGCTGGGCTGGGCCCCTGGGTCAGTCCTTGGCGGGTAAGTGCTGCCCAGCCCCAGTGGGCGGTCAGCAGCCAGGCTGGACCTGGCTCTCAGACCTGGCCACGGTGCCCAGGTCCCTTGAAGGCCCGGGTGCAAGCCCTGTGCCTCGAAGGCCTGGGACAGCCATGTCTCACCCAGCCCATGTCCTCGCAGACGATGGTGCTGGCGAGCGGGGGCCAGGACGGTGCCATCTGCCTCTGGGACGTGCTGACAGGAAGCCGCGTCAGCCACATGTACGCCCACCGTGGGGACGTCACCTCCCTCACCTGCACCACGTCCTGTGTCATCAGCAGTGGCCTGGATGATGTCATCAGCATCTGGGACCGCAGCTCCGGGGCCAAGCTCTACTCGATCCAGCAGGTGGGCAGCCGGTTGCAGCACATGGGTGGGGGGGTCTCGGTCCAGCCGCGGGGAGTGGGAGGGACCTTCTGGGCCAGGTTGGCTGGTTTCCCGG